TTTTTTTTTTTTTTTTTTACCATATTTACCATATTGATTTAGACCATCTATATGTTTTAAAGGTTATAATTGTTGACATATAAGTTCAACAAGAAGCAATGCATGCACTCTTAATTTTTTCAAAATACTGACTTGGATTGCTTTAAACTGTATAGATATGCTCTTTTTTTATGTACAGACAGATGTGGCTGTACAAAGCTGTCACATGCGTCTGTTGTTGCTGTCGTCATCGTCCTTGCTGTGCACTTTCACTGTTATAGCGATAAGTGGTATACCATTTGACTTGTCTTCAAACTTCCAGAACTAATGAATATTCACAAAATACAGGTCAAGTTTGAAAATCAGCTTGAGTGGACAATTTTTCCAAAGTTGTGCTGTTTTTTTCCAACATATTTATCCACTGTTATACAATAAAATGAAAACCATATTCTATTTTTCTCTAAAACTTGCAGGACAGTAGACTTATTCAAAGGACTAATATACAGGTCAAGTTCGAAAACTATCTTGATTGGTTTAGTTTTGAGAAGTTATGCTGTTTTTTTTTTTTTTGTTTTTTTTGTTTTTTTTGTTTTTTTTTGTTTTTTTTATGGTTTTTCCTCAGAGACAGTTCTTAGGTATGTTAACAGTTTCATTATTGATATAATTAAAAAATAGATTATGTAAAAAAGTTGGTAATTCTGTTATTGTGTAGTGTATAATAATGTGTCAACAATGGAAAAATGCCATTTAGCATAATATAATGTTGCTTTTAAATTGACTGCTTTCTGTCTGTACATTTGACAGCTTTGCTGCTTTGTTTCCCAAAGTGGTTGCAATTACTGTTTACACGTAGTTTAATTTGAGTTAACTGTAAATCTTGCTGATAAGGGTGGTATATCCCTGCATGTGGTATCAGAGACACTAAGAAATGATTGCACAGCAATTATTTTTTACTTAAAGGCTAAATAGCATAAGTCAAATAGGATGTTTTGGTCCACCACCTTTGAATCTTCACCTTTCACTTGACCAAGGTTCATAGGTTGTAGACCAAAATGTCATGCTTGACTCGTGTTATTTAGTCTCTAAGTAAAGTATAATTCTCATTTATCATCCTATTTAGAGACCATGAAAAGCCTTTTGTAGTACACTAAGAACTGCTTTGCTTATTGTACATTTCCTTTTGTATTGAAAAGCAATATTGACTCTGTTAATTGCTTGCCATTATTCAATACCACATGTTACTGTCAAGTACATTTTTTCTGCAGAGTCTGTAGGGAACGGCACCCTTGTTAAAAAAATGAACCAATTTATAGCCCTTTTAGGGCATGTATCTGCAATATAAGCAATAGGCAATTTCTTTCTTGTTGAATGATATATACTTTTTTATGTAGGCAAATTTAGCCATGATATGGAAGTTGAAAGAAGTCCATGGCACTCAGAGGCCAAATAGAGCAACACTTTTCCCAAGATGGAAACATTAAATCCGAGCCTGTTTAGAGGAAACCTTTGATTATATCCTCCACCAACAGGTGAAGGGAATATGGCCAATGAAGTCTGTCAATCTAGTTTTATAAGTTATCAGCTGTTCTCACATAAAAATGTTTCTAGATATCATGGAGTGTAAAATGATACTAAATTTTTGGATGCATTGTTGTTCCCAATCACACCAAGTGGTGGCAGCATCGAGTCCTGTTGATGTCAAAGTAAAAACATGAAAACATGGAGAGACCCAATGAATTGCACTTATATGACAAAAATTAGCTGGCAATTACTGGATGTCTTTGTGCACCCTCTGTTGAATGTTTGATATTAAGTTTAGCAGGTAAATGTGATGGGAAAAGCAAGTTAAAACAAGTGTTTTGTGGCAGGCTTTGTTTTCTCCTCCATCCAATTTTTTTTATCTTTTGTTAAGCAGGGAGAGAAAGAGTAAAGATGTGAAGTGCAAGATAAAAACATTGTTGTGGCCCTTGGCTGCAAAGGGCAGTTACTGACCTAAACAAATGGGTGGTTTGTAAGCATCAAATGATGTGTGCACCTTAAAAAAAAAAACTTTTTGTGCTTATATTACTCGTTTGTTCAGAGCAAGACATTAATTTAAGATTTATTTTCAACTTTTTCTCACCATTGTTGAAGGAGCAAGATTAAATTTGGGTATCATTGAGTTAGTTATGACAAATAAGATTGTCTTTCGTTAAAAGGTTGGTTTGATAAATGTTTAGAGGGGATCCTTGCTGAGACTGGTATGCTCTTTTTGAAATAAATATACATGCTTTTTTGTGGAGGTACGTGTTTGCACTTTATGAGTGCCTTCAGGTAAATACAGAATACAGGCATAGATAAAAACTATTTGATATATGCACCAAAGAGAATCAGAAAAGTTGCCATACATTTATATTTTTCTCATAAAATAATAACTATTTTTACTACTTAGGTCTTATTTTGTCTAAGATGTTTCTTATGGTAGTTGCTTAAGTAGTTATATTTATTATGCATAATATTAAATCCCATTGATGACAAAAAAATGAAGGTGCTGCACAGAAATATATTTGTCATATTTATAATAAGATTTAGCAGACATTTATCTGAAAAATAACAGGTCACCTTTTGAATAGAGCCATGCACCACTGATGTGAATACGATTTCATGATGGTGATGATATTGACTTTTATGAAAGCAGCTGTATTTGCTTTAAAGATTATTAAGTATCTGGATGTAATTTGCAATTTGTAAGTTACTGCCATGTAATATTCCAAAACACAAAACACAAAACATTATTTTTGTCTGTCTCTGCTTGTTTTTGCCTCAGCATATTGTATGGTCAATCCGGGAGAACTTTGGATTGGCGAATAATCTGCTTTACCAACATCAACTTTAAATACATCCTTACTACATAGTCACCTAGACTGTAAGCTATTTTAGTTCCAATTTTGATGAATTTTTACCAGTCACCAGTGATAAATTTTTTTTTTTAATTATGTTGTTTCTGTTGAATTCAAAATTCTACTGTATATAATTGTTCTCCTGTCTTCAGGAGTTGTCTGCAACATTTACGATACTCTGTATCTTTGAATGCATGATATTTTGATACTTAAATCATGGCAAGTGTATTTTATTAATGCAAAGCTCTGTTTTTAAAATAGAGCAGTGTGATACTTTGTTCATTAAGCAAAACCATTTGTTAAATGACAGTCTTTACACTGGACAAACCCCTACCCTGTGTTTTCTCACAGTGTATATATGAGTATCTGTGCAAGGTGATGGGGATTTTTGCAATTGAAATATGCAATTTGAACTTTCATAAATGTTTTAATAATGTTAGGTCCCCTGCAGTGTGCATATATGATGTCAACTTTGATTCAATCCCATTTTCTTGTGTGTGCATTTATCCCCCTCTCCTGAGGTCGTCACGTGCTGCACTCCCCAGGGAAATGTGAAATTTGCATCAATGTCCATTTTGCTGATTTGTGTCAGTTTAATGGTGCAAAAAGTGGGAACAACCCCCTTTAGCTGGTGCTAATGGTGTTCTTGACAAAAGCAGTTGTAAAGAAACTGCACATGCACACAAAGAAAAATTTGGTTTTGATACAACTTTATATGACTGATTAAGGGTTGTTGAATACATATCATGTTTAAATAAGAA